TGATAGATTAATACATGCTATGGATAAATGGGTGTTATATTATTTTGTTTCAAAGAATCATTATCAAATTTTAATATATTTTTATATATATAAAGATAACCCAAATATTTAAATGATTGAAGGAGGACCTTTTACTGTTGAAATAAAAGATTATAAGAAACATATTCTAGGAGGGTCATCAATAGTGATAATATATCATAATACAAGTTCATTTGAGCATTTGATAAAGGCTTAAAGTAAGAGTTGTTATAGCATCTAATCATAATGGAATTACTATAGAGCAAATCAAGTAAATGTAAATTTATATTATGGAATGTTCAGATTATGAATTGGAAAAAACAGCAGAATTTTTTGATTAATTATTAAGTTTAGCAATAATTACCAAATATAAGAAGAAAACTTTATGAACGTTCAATTTAAATAAATAATGTTAGTTACAAGGAAATTCTTTAAATATTACTTTTTCTGAGCTTCATATTAATATCATCTGCATCCTATTTAGCATTTTCATCAGAACTTTCAGAAACTGTGAGGAAAATATGGAGAATTAAATCTTTATTAAGCAAATATTAATAAAAACCTCTTAATGATGGAGGATTTTTACAACTTCCGGAATAATGTTTATTAGATACTAATCTTTAAGTTAGTATTTTTTGAAATCAGCTTCCTCTAAAATTCCTCTTGACCGCTGTCTAAAAAGTATTTTTGGGTTCATATAACCAGGAATAAACTAGTGTCTGATGATATATCAGGCATCTAAATTATAATTATTCTCATTGTCTATTCTAATTTAAAATTATGAAGTTTCAAATTTTCTAGAAATTATCCCTTATTAATGTAAATATTATCAGTATATTCAGAAACAAAAGAGTTTAATTTAGTATTTCATAAAAATAGTTTCTAATTCTGAAACTCTTTTATCTTTTTCATATTTTATAAAAAGATTACTTCGCTTAATAATTTACAATTAAACATTTGTTTTTTCTATCTTAAAATGAGTATATGAGAATATATTTTATAATTTATCCCCATAACTTAAATGAATTCCAAATTTAGCATGAAAACATATATTCTATTAAATTTAAATACTTAATGAATCTAATAAAGTTATTTAATTGGCAATTATCAATTATTTTATTAATATAATTATGTAAAATACAAGTATTGTTAAATTTATATTAAAAAAATCAATATATTATCCACCAAAGAGCATTTCTTATTTTCGAATTCTTTTTCAAATTTTTTTCTCCTCTCAATTTTAAAATACTTTCTAAATATGCATATTTAATTTATAATGTTTTAAAAAATAAATTTATTCTAGCAGTCAGTTTCCTTTTCAAAATTAAAGTTTTATTCTTTTAATTAGCAGTGTGGTGGGTAAATGGTTATCCTCAAATAATTAAAATTTAGTTAATTCTAATTGTTTTGATGATCAAAATTAATGATCTCCAAAAGTTTGAATATTCATAGGAAATTGTTTCAA